CTTCTAGATTTTCCCGGAGGAGTAATGGATAGCGGCTCGGATTGAGGAATCGGAGAGCCGAGTTCGAATTCCAGTCGAATCCATTACATTCACTTACGTGTTAATACCCTTGGGAAAGGTATGAATCCTCTTCTAGATTTTCCCGGAGGAGTAATGGATAGTGGCTCGGATTGAGGAATCGGAGAGCCGAGTTCGAATTCCAGTCGAATCCATTAATTCACTTACGTGCTAATACCCTTGGGAAAGGTATGAATCCTCTTCTAGATTTTCCCGGAGGAGTAATGGATAGCGGCTCGGATTGAGGAATCGGAGAGCCGAGTTCGAATTCCAGTCGAATCCATTACATTCACTTACGTGCTAATACCCTTGGGAAAGGTATGAATCCTCTTCTAGATTTTCCCGGAGGAGTAATGGATAGCGGCTCGGATTGAGGAATCGGAGAGCCGAGTTCGAATTCCAGTCGAATCCATTACATTCACTTACGTGCTAATACCCTTGGGAAAGGTATGAATCCTCTTCTAGATTTTCCCGGAGGAGTAATGGATAGTGGCTCGGATTGAGGAATCGGAGAGCCGAGTTCGAATTCCAGTCGAATCCATTACATTCACTTACGTGCTAATACCCTTGGGAAAGGTATGAATCCTCTTCTAGATTTTCCCGGAGGAGTAATGGATAGCGGCTCGATTGAGGAATCGGAGAGCCGAGTTCGAATTCCAGTCGAATCCATTACATTCACTTACGTGCTAATACCCTTGGGAAAGGTATGAATCCTCTTCTAGATTTTCCCGGAGGAGTAATGGATAGTGGCTCGGATTGAGGAATCGGAGAGCCGAGTTCGAATTCCAGTCGAATCCATTACATTCACTTACGTGCTAATACCCTTGGGAAAGGTATGAATCCTCTTCTAGATTTTCCCGGAGGAGTAATGGATAGTGGCTCGATTGAGGAATCGGAGAGCCGAGTTCGAATTCCAGTCGAATCCATTACATTCACTTACGTGCTAATACCCTTGGGAAAGGTATGAATCCTCTTCTAGATTTTCCCGGAGGAGTAATGGATAGTGGCTCGGATTGAGGAATCGGAGAGCCGAGTTCGAATTCCAGTCGAATCCATTACATTCACTTACGTGCTAATACCCTTGGGAAAGGTATGAATCCTCTTCTAGATTTTCCCGGAGGAGTAATGGATAGTGGCTCGGATTGAGGAATCGGAGAGCCGAGTTCGAATTCCAGTCGAATCCATTACATTCACTTACGTGCTAATACCCTTGGGAAAGGTATGAATCCTCTTCTAGATTTTCCCGGAGGAGTAATGGATAGTGGCTCGGATTGAGGAATCGGAGAGCCGAGTTCGAATTCCAGTCGAATCCATTACATTCACTTACGTGCTAATACCCTTGGGAAAGGTATGAATACTCTTCTAGATTTTCCCGGAGGAGTAATGGATAGTGGCTCGGATTGAGGAATCGGAGAGCCGAGTTCGAATTCCAGTCGAATCCATTACATTCACTTACGTGCTAATACCCTTGGGAAAGGTATGAATCCTCTTCTAGATTTTCCCGGAGGAGTAATGGATAGTGGCTCGGATTGAGGAATCGGAGAGCCGAGTTCGAATTCCAGTCGAATCCATTACATTCACTTACGTGCTAATACCCTTGGGAAAGGTATGAATCCTCTTCTAGATTTTCCCGGAGGGAGTAATGGATAGTGGCTCGGATTGAGGAATCGGAGAGCCGAGTTCGAATTCCAGTCGAATCCATTACATTCACTTACGTGCTAATACCCTTGGGAAAGGTATGAATCCTCTTCTAGATTTTCCCGGAGGAGTAATGGATAGTGGCTCGGATTGAGGAATCGGAGAGCCGAGTTCGAATTCCAGTCGAATCCATTACATTCACTTACGTGCTAATACCCTTGGGAAAGGTATGAATCCTCTTCTAGATTTTCCCGGAGGAGTAATGGATAGTGGCTCGGATTGAGGAATCGGAGAGCCGAGTTCGAATTCCAGTCGAATCCATTACATTCACTTACGTGCTAATACCCTTGGGAAAGGTATGAATACTCTTCTAGATTTTCCCGGAGTAATGGATAGTGGCTGGTATTGAGGAATCGGAGAGCCGAGTTCGAATTCCAGTCGAATCCATTACATTCACTTACGTGCTAATACCCTTGGGAAAGGTATGAATCCTCTTCTAGATTTTCCCGGAGGAGTAATGGATAGCGGCTCGGATTGAGGAATCGGAGAGCCGAGTTCGAATTCCAGTCGAATCCATTACATTCACTTACGTGCTAATACCCTTGGGAAAGGTATGAATCCTCTTCTAGATTTTCCCGGAGGAGTAATGGATAGCGGCTCGGATTGAGGAATCGGAGAGCCGAGTTCGAATTCCAGTCGAATCCATTACATTCACTTACGTGCTAATACCCTTGGGAAAGGTATGAATCCTCTTCTAGATTTTCCCGGAGGAGTAATGGATAGTGGCTCGGATTGAGGAATCGGA